TGTGGGTTCGTGTTCAGGAACTCAGCTCGAGCTAAACGGATCCAGATGTGTCAGAGCAGGACAGGAACGTACACAGGGGCTCGCATACATCCGTAAATACACAGACATGGAGGAATGAGTATGGGGACAAGGTAGCTGAGCAGCTGAGACTGCAGAGTAATGCTGAGCCATAAGCATGAAGGGCACGCTGTGGTCCCGGCCAAACTAGTCACCCTGATTCACAAGCAGAAGCAAGGTGGGCAGACAGTCATTTAACTGTCCTGATGCATTAGTATCATATGAGCAACATGTACTCCATCACTGAAGCACAGTTTGATCAACTAAAACATGCAAAGCCCCCAAACCTGAGTGCAAATACGCAGACGTTTTCATTGTTCTGTCTACGAGGCATTATGTAACATCTGAGATTTCCTGATGAGCGTTTATTGTTGCCTCAGAAACTAAAAGAAAAAAAAAGTACCCACTCATTTCTCAATGCAGTGTAACAGGCCTAATCTAATGCATCCAAGTGATTCTGCAAATAGTTTATAAAGGAAAGCGGCATGGACAGACGTCACATTGACAGCCTGCACCAGATGCTGGCCAGTTGGCTGGCCCCCCAATCCTCTGAGATACGAGAAACCACGTCTACAGTAAAGACAGCGATGATGGGATTAGCTGTAAGTAATGCAACGCATCCAAATAGGTTATTTTACACAACGCTGTCAACTCGGCTGACATTAAATAATTGAGGTGCTGCTGGCCTGAAGAAGACAACATTACATTGTGAGTGTAGTGTTGAGTGGTACCAAGCTGTAAGCCAGTAATTGGTAACTGAGACAAAGTGCCAGTTGTGAAAATGTGGCTTCATGGTTATATGTACATAAACACACACACACCTTATTTCCAGGAAGACGAACATGTTCACAAAGGGAGCTAAGGTTTCAGAGCCGCAGGGCTGGGAGCTAAGAAACCAGTTTTTTGGGGTTTTTTATTTTTTAAATATACTGAATGAACAGCTACACAATGTCCGTGTTCTTCCTTGATTACAGAAGAGGTTTTGGCCTTCTATCCCAAGGAAAATCACCAGGCATGTTATATATATATATATATTTTTTTTAAAGAAGTTTGACTTTATGTGGTTTTATTTTACTCACAATCAATGTGACAAAAAAACAAAACAAAACAAAAAACAGGAAAATGCACAGATGACTTAGGAAAACACCGACTTACTGCAAACCAATTACATTGCATACACCTGTAGTCGCCCTCCAGAGGCCAATTTTGAGCCAGATAAATTAAAAGTTTTATATTGCATTTTTTCTTAGCAGGTATCACCATGAACAAAAAAATACAGAATTTTCCTCTGCTTTGAAAATGTAAAACTTGTCATGTGTAATGTCTTCAAATTACCAGCTGTATATTTTAGGGGCTTTTCCAAGATCAAAATTTGTCTTTGGCCGGTGAGCATAAGCATGTTTAGAGTCCACACTAGGCCTAACGATTGCTCCAGCTAAGTGATATCAGTCTACTCTCACATTTTACACCAATCTAGTGCAGACCCACACTACTTTGTGGGGGTGTAATTCCTCTTACTTCGGTTGTTTGCCTGTCTGGCTAATGGTGGGTGGCTGCATAGCACCTTAGAGCCAGCAGCTAACTGGTGTTGGACATTAATAAAAACACTAATATTTAGTGTAAACCCACTATTATGTGCATTGCTGACTACAAATATATAACAGTATTTAAACACCTGTTTACTGTGAAGTTACAGCCACTCATCTGCATTCAAGAGAGGCACTTCTGTCTGTCAGGGAAGAAGCTAACTACTATCAATTAAAACAAATAGTTTAACCAACTAGCATTTTGAATAGTGAGAGCAGCAACCCTTAGTCATGTAGTCCACTGGTTTGTGCACGCACAAATGGCAAAACCAAAACTTCAAGGCACACCTGTACTCTTATCTGCTGTTCATTCTTTTTTGATATTGTAATGCGGCTTCTGACAGCCCAACCTGTACCTCAACTCCATCCCTGCTTCTGATACTTTAACCCAACCCAACTGTCTTGTGCCTTCTGGTTCAAATTCAACACTCTTTAACTGGCAGATATTTCGTTTCCAAATGCCTCGTCAGCTAGCTTGACATCATGGTGGCATTAACCAACACCTCACTACAGATGCCACACGTCAGTTGAGCCCTGTTGATATTCCCTCTCACTAAAGTCGCAAGACAGGTAGCTTTCATGTACTGATGCAACAAATGAATTAATACTTAATTGTTGTATATCACAGCAACATATGGTTGTCACAAATCCTGTAGCACACTCATACTTACCTAGAGCACACTACTTGGGAACCACAGGTGTTAACGTTTCTTGAGTTCAATTAATCTATTTATATTTCCACAATCTGTTAAATAATCATGATTTATCTAAAAGAACTGAAATTTGAATGTTTATCTATAATCAATCCAAGGTGAAACCAATTCTTTGTTAAGTTGAAACTTGATAAAATTTCAAGTAATTCAGGCTAAGAGCACTCTGCTGCCCTCAAACACAAAGCTTAACTAGTTGCTCTCAGGTTAAGGTCACATACATGAGTGGAAAAACGACACTTGTTTGCTTAACACATCTCCTGACCTGTAGGCCCTAAGCTTGCTTCAGTAGGGTTAACATTGTTAGCCAATGATTGATTAGTGATCTTCTCTGAGCAAAACAACATTTAGAAACGGTCATACACTCACGAGTTCTGATGCGTCATTTACCATACAGGTTAAAATCCAGCGTTTCACAGAGTGGAGGGAAAAAAAACTGTAAATACGTGTAGTTTTCCACAGAGACGTGCTTGAATTCACTGAAGAGTTAGTGCTTGTTAAGAGTGACTAAGGCTCCAAGAAGCCGTTGCTGCTTCACAATAAAAGCCTTGTGATGGCTGGTGGCTGGAAAGCTTTCATGGTAAAGCAGCAACAAGACATATCATGTTGGCTATAACAGAAGATTAACTGAAGCAGATGAAGAAAAGATGAAGCCACTGTTGGGAATTTCAGCTGATTATTACATGATGATTGGTCCCCTTTAGAGAAAGAAATCACTGAATGTAATGAGCTCAGTATGAGTCATTTACATCATGTCTAAAGAGCTAACTGAGCCCAACATGTAAACTCAAATAATACCTCGAAGTACTTCAGGTGCTTGGTGAAAAGTGCTTTTGATCATCATTACTTGGGGAAATTCAAGAGATGCCTACATTATAATGGGCTGAGTTAGAGCTAAAAGAAAGGGTTAAGTTGATCCACCAATTTGCCTTGACGGCCTCTAATTAAACCAACCTTTCCATACTGTTTCCTCTGCCTGGCATTTTCACTGACAAGATGCAACTCTCAGCTATGAGTTCACAAATAATACAGCCATCTAAAATGTCACAACTTCCCATTTCTATCACCATGACCCTGATGACCTCCTGGCAAACCGTATCCACTACTGAAAACAAAGGAGACTGAATTAAAAAACAACAACAAAAAACAAAACCCTGTCGTAGTATTTTTAAGAACATAACTTTGGGAACCCCCTGCAGACATGACAGCTTTCACTTTCATTACAAACATGCAACTCTTAACTGCCATATTCACCCTTATTACCTAAATGACTACTACTAGTACTACTACTTTATACAGGCATTTTAAAAGGCATTAGAGAACTTCTTATCCTGGGTTTTAACATATCTTATTTAATTTTCAATTTTGCTTAATGTTACTTTCCCCAATTTTCTACCTTATTTTTTTAACACTTTTATTTGTCTTGTTTTATTTTCTCTGGCATTCTATTTTATTTGATCTACATTTTTAGTTATTCTCTCTATAGTTGAATCAATTATTTTATTTACATTTATTTTCCCCTTTAATTTTTTAACTTATGTTTTATTTATCTTGCGTATCATATTTATTTAGTTTTCTTAATTGGTTTGCTTCTTTTCGTGTTTGAACAAGACAGAAATTGTATAAAGTATAACTTAATCAACATATTCTCGCCCCCATTGAGCTCCACAGAAAACATTCAAAAACCATTTGCTCCAAAACTGAACCCCTCAGTCATGTATGCTAAGGACACAAGTTTCTTGTTACGTTATGGAGTTATTTAGGTCAAAGGTCTAAAGTCAACACTGGAAAGGATAATAAAAATCAGTGATCTTAACTGCTTTGTTAATAATCTACCCAATCTTCAACAGGCCAGTAACTCCATTAATGCTGCTAACACCACCTGCTCTACCGCCCCCCCCCCACACACACACACACACACACACACACACTTTCCCCAAATCTAATGACACAGAAACACGTTCTCTGATGTGAACTTCCCATGAAGTACATGCACAGGCCACCCTCCTGGCTGAGGGAAACCTGACGTCACAACAGGCAGCATGTTAAAATATAAAACTCACACCTTCTGCAAAAACCACCACCACCCCTGCAGTTCTACGTTCCTACTAGGTTTCAGTTTTAAACCAAAACAGTGACGTGCTCTGTGGGTGCTCACTTTTTCGCCCTGCAAATAAATACAACGCTTGATTTCAGCTCAGGCCCTCTCAGGAGGCAGCAAGTCCATTCGAGCCGGTTCGTTCTCCACAGGATAGCACCCACACAACTACACACGCTCTCTCTCTGGGTGAATCGTACCTCTTACCCCTTCCTGGGGTTTTACCCAACAACTACTGAGGCAGGCTATGTGGTTACAATTGTCACTAGCACCTGGAATGGCATAACAGAAAAACTGCAGCAAGAAACTTTCCCTGGAAATATAGGGACTGAACAACTCCCAGCACCATGAAATGTCAGAGTACTGTGGCGTTACCAAACAGTGCAGCCAAATTTTAAATGAATCCTTCTGTGGAGCTTCTGTATAAAACCTTTTTCCAACATAAGACTTCTTTCCCTCAGTGTTCACCTCCAGTCTTTGAAGGCTCTAACCAGCTGTGTGCTTGTGTACAAACTCCCTAATAGCCTGACGTTTCAGAGGGTGACTTACATTTTGACATGCCGCTGCTCAATGTCCACTCGGGACAGCTCCTCCTCCTCCAGGTCAGAGTCCCCTCCAGAGCTACTCTCTGTTACATCAGAGTCAAAGGCGCTTTCTGCTGAATGAAGGTTGGCTGAGCCACTCAAATACAACCTCTCCAGCTCCAAGGGCATCGAGCCACTTTTCAGGAAACGACTCAGACCGTCCCGGTTGTTTGACGAGTGGCGCCCGGTCCTCCATGAAGCTGTGGGGGTTGCAGTCTCTGATTTCCGGTTGCTGCCTAGTAGCCGATTCAAGGCCGTGTCCAAGAAGCCACCCAGCTGCTGCTGAATGTGCCGCTCAACCTGCTTTGCCTGTACCACCTGAAGACGTTTGTGCAGGCGTCGCAGTCGGCTCTCGAGCTCAGCCTGGCGGCTGCTATTGATGAGAGTGCGTTCTCTTACATGAACGTCGAGGCTATCTGAGGAGGAACTGCAGGGTATGGGAGGTGCAGGCGTACATGGCGGTGAGCCCTGCTGACTGCTGCCTGGCCGCTCTCCATCAGAACCCTGTGGCTGACTCGTAGGGGTATCTGGATCTGCTTCCTCCAAATTCGCCTGTTCAACTGGGTTAGGGTTGCCGCTGGTAAAGGGAGAAAGTGCAGCTGACTGAAGCACTGGTGGTTCGACATTTTGTCCATCTGTGTTTTGAGAAACCCCAGAGGAATGCCTCCGTTTGAGAGCTCCTTTCAAAGGGATGTGCCCTGTTAAGGTCGCCGTCAAGGTCTCAGAGTCAAAGGGCAGGTTCTGGGGCTGAGAGTCGGTGGCGGCGGGAGGCTTGTCGCCATTCACCGCGACCACACAGCCAGAGCTGGACATGGTGGCCAGCTTCTTGGCCAGGCCGTTGACGGGTGCCATGGGCTGGCCGCTTCCGTTGGTGCCGCCACTCATGAGACTTTTGAGCTGGCCGCCCGACAGTTCAATCGCCTGCCTCTTCCTGAGGAAGTCTCCGCTGCCGTTGAGCAGAGAGTTGGGCAGTATTCTGTGGCTTTTCAGCACAGACTGTTTAATGAGGACTCCTTGCAGCTTAATTGACTCCTTAGTTGAAGGGACAGGTGTCACATCCGGGTAAAGATAAGAAGCCACAAGTGGCTGGAGTTTGCCCAGGGCAGAGGCCTGGGACACAGAGTCAGATTGGGCCTGTGGCTGCTGCTGTTCCTGGTTACCGCCTCCGCCACAATAGTCGAGGGGACACTCTTCGGAGGTGGCCTTGCACTTGGCGGGGCCGCTGCTGTGGATGAGGATGTTGCTGGCGTTACCGTTGTTCTCTGCACTGGCTGGTGAGAGACTCGAGGATGGGGCAGCCAGTTTGAAGCGGATGTGGTGAGCTTCGGCTGGGGCGTCGGTGAGAGCGGGCGCCATCGCAGCCATGCAGTGCAGAGGGACGGGCACCGCGGCCTGCTCCACTCCACCCGCTTACTGCCCCACCTGAGGACAGCCTGCAGGGACAAAAAAAACCACAGAAAAGAAATAAAAGTTAAGACTCACCTTATGACCAAAAACCACCCATCATCAAATTCTGATACTATTTCACATGAGGGAGTTGTGTGGTAAATTTCCCATCAGCGCTTAAGAGATAACATTAGTAACCTTATACAGGGATGTGCCTCATAACAAGGTGTAAACAAACATACAGATACTACCTATGTTCATTTAAAACTGAAACCAGCAGCTCCATAAGTGTCATTTATATTCATTCATTCAAAATTACTCAGGTGAGGGAACCATAAGACCTGTTCTTGAAATATGAGAAACCATATTTGATGCAATAAATGCAGTATTTTAGTGACTGTGTTCAGCAACCAAGTATACACAAAAATATGCTTTATTCAAACCCCTGCTTGCACAGTGAAATTTCTGTTGTCCACACTTCTTCTTCTATTATGATTATTATTATTGTTGTTATAATAATGATATGAATACAATAATATTATTATTGCAACAATATAACAATAAAAACAACAGGAAGAAGAAGAAGAGGGAGAAAAAGACAAACAGTAATATTTTAAATACTAAGACTTTTGTATTCTTTTTTTTTATTACAAAATTACTACAACTGTGTCATACATCAGCCATGATACATCATATATCCAGGGATCATCATACCAGCATAAATTTGTATGGTGACATAATAATGTCATCACAATATCATTACTGTAAAACAATATGCTTTTATGTGCAACAAGCCCAGGCATGTCTGAGAGCGATGAAGATTTGGTGCCTAAAAGGGAAATATTTCAACAATCTCCAATAAAGTGCGGTACCTTACAAAAAAAACGTACAAGAAAATTGTTCTACTCTAAAGGTGGAAACAAACGTGTGTCACCACTTCAGGAAAAAAATTATAATTAAAATAAATAAACTTTAAAAACAAAAACAAAGAAGGCTATGGAGGAGGGGATACTAGTAGCTCCCAAATGTAAACAAGGGTGGATGGAAATTACTGATCCGGTTACATAGTAGTGAAGGAGGACTTTCAGCAACTGATTAAAAAAGCTCAACCAAAGTTACAAGTTATTAAATATTTTTCAGTTTCATTATGTGATAATATTGTGCAGCTACTGAACTGTTACAGGGTTAAGTTGGTTTAGCTATTGTTAAACAGCAATTTTATACTTAAAATGTCCTGGGGAAAAAGCAAACAAGGCCACATTTGTCTTTTGCTGTGTCACTGGATATAATGCCGTGTCACTACTACACTATTGCTGCTGTTGACACTTTATTTCAATAGATTCACACTTCAAATTAGCAATTTCTCATCAATGATATTAGCTCATTAGAAAAGGAGGATGGGCCATGCCCTTCATTTACGTGTACCCACAAGCTTCAAGAATCAAACATGAATAAAGAATTCAGTATTTTCAAGATTATCAAGATTTAATGCTGAGGTTATATCAACCACCCCTAATATGTACAATGGTTTTCTTCACAAGATAGTTAGAAATACTGGGAGAATTTGTATTTGTTTTTTTTGTCAAACAAGGCAACAGGAAAAAGCAGGAACTCCTTGTGTTTACTGTACACCGACTAATCTTGCTGATGTTGGTAGTATCCCACCCCCTCACCAAGCCCCTCTGTTAGCCAGGAAAAATCCATGTTTCATCCATATACTTAAAAAATATATATTCTCCATAATAATTGTATATCATGATGGGAAAAACATGAATGCAGACTGTGCCTGTATACAACAAAACATTAAACAGAAATACTTGCTGTACAGGTTGTGTAAGACTGTACAATGAGTGGAAAATTACTAACCACCACCCCAAAAGAAAGTTTCTTGCCTTAAATGTTTATTAAAATATGTTCAATATAAATGTACTAATACTAATGGAAACTCCATGACATTGACTCTTTGACATGCTGCTGACCTGTGAACTGCTAAAGAATAAAACACAAGCAAAGTTGAAGGGTAAGAAAATCCCGGGCAAAAGTGTTTTCAGTCTCTTAAAATACAATCGTTCACTCCAGAACCATTCTTTGGCTGTCACTGAAATCAACAATAATTTGTCAACAGAGGGACCCACAACATCTGGTAAGTACAAAGAAATTAAAATGCACACACTGACCTTGGGGCTGGTGATGCTAAAGACAAAGATGGAATAAACAGACAACTGAGCTAAATCCCAGGCTAATAAATTATTATTCCCACTCCACCCATGCCTGTGTGAACAAGCCTTCATTGTCTTTAACTTAACAAAGCTGCTCTTTAAAGAATACGCTTTGGAAGACATCTTTTTATGAGAGAGGAACAGGAAAAGCCAATGCAAATTGCCCCAAACCCCACTGCCCTACATGTGCCCTGGTAAGTCAGTATGCAGCAGGGTTTCTTACAGTAAGTAGGTGGATTTAGGCCCCAGCATTAGCCCAAAGCACATGATGTCATCCTGACTGGATTCTTGTTTAATTTTCAGCTATTACACCTTTCCCTAAATTATTATCCAATTACATCTGTCAGTAAATTATTCAAATTTAAAGAAAACCTTAAGGACGTCAAACGTGCCAAGTATCTCTTGTATCTATGTTAAACTTTTAGATAAAAAGCCTCCCTTCTCACAATTCAGCAGATAAAAAGCGAGCTGCATGTACGCTGTAGCGTCTGCAGGGCGAGATGAATGGAGGCGGCTCTCAGTATTTTCACCGCAGTTTCTAGTCAGCGCGCACTACGCCATGTTGGTATTTCCGAAGCAGATTATGCAATGCAATTCATCCACCTTAAAAAAAAAAACAAAAAAAAAAACGCCCATTCCGCTTTAAACACACTGAGCGAGTTCATGCAACACGCTGAGCATAGAACGGGGGGTAATTTAAATAACCAACCCTACGGACCGACTGCACCATTAGTGAGCCTCTGTAGAGATGCGACAAAAATAATATCCACATCCAACGTTTAGCAAAGCATAGCGCAATCACCAAAATGTCTTCCTGATGTTTACAAAAGCGTTTTGAGAGCACACGGCTATAATAGTCTATTCATAGCCTTGAAGCCACCGAAGAGCAGAGCGATTGTAGCATCGAGACGTGGCTGAATATCTTAAGAAAACATACACGCGAGCAGGAGATCACGCAGCAGGGAAACTCGGCAGATAAATATCTCCTCCGTGGAGCCTGTCACTTCAGACACACTGTGTGCAAATTAACGCTGCTGATGCAAGAAACACAACCTGCCCGCAAGCTTAGCCTCCAGCTGCAGTGAAAAGCTGCCCATCCGCGACACATTAGATCTTTTATTTTGAAGCTCTCCCTTCAATATCTCGGCCGTAAACTTTGAGCTAACCCAGTTAGGCACGTAAACATTTCCAGCCTGCGTAACCTGTGCGCACCGCCCGGGCTGATAGTTTGAGGCGCATAAACGCCCAGCACTGACATGTATTATGAGAGCATAAATAACGAAACGGAGAATTAGCGTGAGAATGAATCCTGGCCTCTTGTTAGCATCTGGCCATCCCCAGAACTTATTTTAAAACGCGCTGGGAGCTAAATGCAGGGTGCAGACATGGTTTGCATTGTAATTAGACCTACAGGAACACATGCGAGGCAGCCCTGTTGTTTTTACATTTAAATCTACAGCGGTCCTCATTCAGTTCGCCAAACAAATGGGGCTCAAATGTGTCAAAAGCGGAGAAGTTGGGGGTAGACCCAGCCAAGTCTAGCTAGCTCGCTAACAAAGAAAAAGGAGGAACCTACCACGTGACGAGGTTGCACTATCCGAGGGAATTTCGGCAACAATCCCCTGCAGTTTCTGGTGGAAAAAAATCCAAGGGTGCTAACACGCACACACACGCACAAAATGTGGCGCGTTGACTCGATCACTCAGCCATCAATTAATATCCATAAAATAATAAATGCAACCAGAGAGCGGAGGAAAAGGGGCCCGGGTCCACAGCGCAGAGCCGCTCGGGTTCGTTCCGGATACAGCAATGGGCGAATCAACGAGCTACACCTTACTCGCCAGCTAGCCTCGCCGAATATAAGGGCAAGGCCGCGAAACCGTCCTTTCTACTCCAAATTACTTCAAACGTAGGCGATTTCACGGCAATCCTTTACCGAAAAGTCCGATTCCCGGTGAGGAAGAGGTAATCCAGACGGCAGTTTGCCGCGAGCCGTTTTCTCTCGTTTTAGGGAGAGACGCTTAGAAAATGGCGGCTAGCTCCTCTCCCTCGGATTTGACTCTGACAAACATAGAAGTGCTGCGCGCGCGCGTGAGTGTGTGCGTATGTGCTAGAGCTGGTAGGCGGGAGACGTTTCTCATAGTCACCACTAGAGTAAAGGGCAGATAAGAAACGACATAAAAGCTCAAAAGAAGATCCCACAGGAGGGCATTGTCTTCCAAAAAAGATACCAGCGGACACACACTTTTATTCTCTTGCTGTACTGGTTCCGCGACCGCTGCTGTTTCTGGTTAAACACGCCATATTTATGGTCCTACTCCAACGGTACACACAGAAAATACCCCTTATGCTTCAAAGACCACCTGTGCGCTAAATATTTACGCGGAAAATCAACAATAACTAACAGGAACGAGGACTACAGCCGGGATCTGCTCCCCTAAGCAGCTATTTTTTGGAAGAATTTGTGCAAACAGAGCCTGCGCCTCTTGTCACTTTTTAACAGGAACAGGATCGCCCACAAACACCACACTACACTACACACAACAAGCTTCATGACGAGGTGCAGCCAGCGGCCACATGAAGGAGCTCTTCTCCACAGTGCTGCGTGTAATAAAATAATAAAAGCCTCACGCTGTGCCCAAACATAGCGCCAACTACCTCCAAACAAGAACAAACTAAGCTAAAACTATAAGGGAATCAATTTAACTCATCAGTCTTAAATGTTTATGTTTAGTGTCAAGTGTTACTGGCCGCATGAAGGAGATCTTCCCCACAGAGCCGCGTGTAAACCTTCATATTGTGCAAAAAACAGCGCCAACTATGTCCGAACAGGCATAAATGAAACAAAACTCAGTTAATGAATATGTCATTCTTAGCAAAATGTTAGGTCAACAAGAAATAAAGTTTCTAAAAAGTTTGTGTATTTTAACCCTATTTATTATAATTTTATTATTTATTAATATATTTATTATAAATATCTACAGTGCTAATTAGATTATTATTACTATGCATTATAATGATTTATTATAATGCATTCTAGTGGCAGATATTTTATTTTTCACCATCTAATTTGAGCAATTTATGACCAGAAAGTTCTGTACTGAGCCACAATACATATTTAATCCTTATAATGAAGGCGACACAGCCTGTTAAGTATCAATTAGTCTGACAACATTATAAAAACGTACTTTCTATGGCATGTTTTAAAACACTTACTTACAAATCAGCATTTTCTTTAGAACGGTCTCATGCTTTTGTTGCATTTATACTGCTATCTTTTTTTATTAGCCGCAAAACAAAACTGCAGGATAAAATATATACAAGCATGTTTAAGGCTAAAAAAGTTGCTATAATATACTCTGACTCCTACCTGTGTTTCTGTGAAATTTTTCAATTGTTGCCTAATAGATTTTAAAAAGAGACCTTTTATTAAAAGTTTTTAATAAAAAGTGACGTTTTCATTTTATTTTGACTGATGTCCAGATGCAGATGAAGCATTTGGGAGGGCCTGGATCACAGGAAGTCTTTGTTATTATAGACAAACCTCTTATTACTTTGTATTATGGAAAACGGATTCTGAGGGGATCAGACCAAAAAAAATGTTCACATCTGACTGATTTTTAATGAAAAGATCATCATGTGGATGGGTGACAAATTAAAGGAAAAATGCAAATCCCTGACCTCAGTAATGAGGGGGGATGTGGTTGCTGGGAAGTTGTAAAGGGGAGTGGGGACTAACAGAGTTATCATCTTATTGTAAGATAAAGTCAGTCTTATCAGTGTTTTGTATCCATGCAATGTTTTAAGTTCAAATGCTATGAGTTCTTTTTTAGGCCTCAAAATTGGCCTTTGGAGGGCGACCTCACATGCAAGCATGACTGGCCCACGTTTAGTAGGAATTTTCCTACAAATAACAAAATACTGACACCCACCAAAGAGCTTCTGTTTTTTAAAGAAGATTTTTGCAGAGGTCTAATGAACTCGAGCTTGTTTCTTAAATGGCCATACATAACATAACAAAGACTACTTCCCTTAGCTAAATGTGCATCAGTCATGCTTACGGGTGTAGTCAAACCCAACAGAGGCCCCTTCTGAACTAGGAAAAACCCTCTGCATTACCTTAATTAGTGATACTCAAGCCCCCCTTTTTAAAATAGTATTTTTATTGTATTTTATTTTTTATTATTTTGCCTTTAAAAAATTTTTTTTTTAAATTGGATAGTGAAGAAAGACGTGTCAGCAGTTTGGACTCGAACCCAGGCCACTGTTTTCTGCTTTCAAAAGCTTTTGCAATTTAAGGTAAGATTTAAACAGGTATATACCTGATCAAATAAGTAAACAAATTTCCCCACCTGTGGGACTAAAGGTTTATCTTATCTCATCTAACAAATTGTACTTCCTTCTTCTTGACCTAATTTTGCATATTGCACAATTTCTTTTCATTTTTATTTTTAAGAGATGAAGTAGCAGCTGGGTTGAAGGCTAGCTTATTGGCTACTATTTGCAGCGATGCTGACTGACATCCACATCAATGGAAAAATAAACAATTAATATTTGCCACGGAACAGCTTGTTTCTAAACATTTACATTGTCATTTTGATTTTTTTCCCAGGCTTAATTGTGTCTAAATTGTATTGAGGCTACACACTGAGATATCATTTATCTATTTTTGACTGATAAACCTGAACATCATGTAGCTTCAAATTAATTGAATTTTTGTTTATCATATGAAGGTATTTTAAGCACGGCTCTAGCACAGTGAGTATGTTAACCTAATTTTCTTGGCTGGACTTCAAGTTACATTAGGCACAACTTTAATTGAAAAATATGCCCTGTGTTTTGTTGAAATTGTTTAAAAAGTAATATCAGATTCAAGTTTCTCTTTCAAACACTATTTATGGGTTTTATTTTTTGCTAAGGGAGGCTACATTTCTGCAGCTACTCGCCCATCACTAGATGATCATACTGTTACTCCAGTGTCTCTTGCTTGTCTGGTTTATCTTCTTTGACATTTAAATAAACAACTTTTAATAACATCCTGTGCACTAGAAGATAATCCTATAAACGACTCGTTGCACACTGACAGCCATTTTCCCACACTAAAAGAGAAATTCAACGTAGTTCTCTACTGAGAAGTGTTTTCGTCTAGAAACGGGTACAAACCCGAGCTGACATGTTTACAAAGTTACATTATATCCTCTCTTGTCTCACTACCATTTAGGCCCACTATTAAATGAAAATGGAAAAAAATATGTGATTTTAGATTGATTCAGTACCTCTGATCTCCTGATGCTTGTTAAGTATTGAAAATGAATGCACCCCACTTATTCTAACAGGTCTTGCATGGCCTCTGAGCATAATCAGACTACCAGAAAGGACATGGACACTTCATTATCTGTGTGTGTGGAAATCAGAGGGAGGAAGAAAGCGCTTTACACAACCTGTCATCCACACACTGGTGATGGCAGCTACATTGCAGCTACAGCCACCCTGGGGCGCACTGACAGAGGCGAGGCTGCCGGACAGCTGCCCTCTGACCACCACGAGTAGGCAACGGGTGAAGTGTCTTGCCCAAGGACACAACGACAGAGACTGTCCAAGCCGGGGCTCGAACCGGCAACCTTCCGATTACAAGGCAAACTCCCAACTCTTGAGCCACTCCCAACTATTGTACAGTGAAGCAGGGGTATACTTCCATTTAACTCTTGCAAATTACTTTAATAAAATAAAGAAATATACCTTGTCATTTCTTAAGAGAAAAAAACGTTGTTGGCTTCAATCTCTGATCATTTCTGGATTTTCTTTTTTTTTATATTAAAGACTATCATTTTCAAAAATGTTTGTTGTTTTTATAAGAATATTACACTTTTTACAAACATAACTTTTTCAGTGAACCAGTCTTGTCGCTAGTTTCATTTCTGAGAATTTCTGCATTTTTTTTCTTGAAAATTTGATTGCCATTTCTTATTGATTTACCACAGTAACTTTTAAAAGTCTGATTTTCACCTCCTAATATTACTTCTTTCCTTTTGTTGTTGCTTTGTATTAACCTAAAATGACCCCCGCAGGTCTTCATGGGACGTGAACGAAAAACATCACAGAAACAAAACAAACCGATTTGTGACTGTTATAACTGGCAAATACCCATCCATCCATTTGCTCTTGCTCCAGGTTACAGCTGATGCAAAGATGTCTCAACTTCCTTGTGCTCCTCCTAGGTGATCCCTTCAGACTTCAAGGATATGTAATCCATCCCACTTGACCAAAATACATCCACAGGGAGATGTCCACAGAGTATGCTAATCAGATGCTCTTCACACGGGTGCTCAAAATCCAGACTACTTATATCCCTGATGTGATCTTTTCTCCAAGGCCATTGGGTGGCTGCAGCACCCCCTGGCTTTAAAATAAAGATAAATGCATATAACAATTATACCTTTAACTCCATTGTCGGTGAACTCCAATCAATAATCCATGGGATCATTTTCCCAGTTTCCACACATGAAAATATGACACCTAAAATGAAACAAATAAAATAAAAAATAAGATTACTTGAATCATATTTAAAATTTTCAGACAATACATTTAACTATGATGGCGTAGTAGGAAAAGATAGAGGGTTAGGTGATGCGCAAGCCTGTAACTCTTGTGGAATTTTTTGTTTGTACATGTTGCAAGTTACAGATATATAAGCTACTATCAGCTGCTCCCTTAATTCACAAGGCCCTTGTTGGACCATGTTGTTGATTTGGCAGATTTTACTTTTTATTTTACTTCCGTTCTTATGCTGATTGCCAATCCTGATGCTATAGAGAAAGAAAATTGTAGAAACGGGCAAAAACAATTACATGAGTGAATCGATATCAGCACATTACACTAACTAAAAAAATTGTAAATTTACAAGAAAAAAAAAGGGGGGGGGGTCAAATTTTTGAGGAAAAAAATAGCAAACTTTGGAAAATTGCCCAGTGGAAAATGGAAAGAACAACCCTTGAATTTAGGGGCAATTTAACATAAAGAACAGCTAATTTACATGACAAAGGTGGGGCTAATTTCTGAGAAAACGAATGCAAATTAAAGAAGGGAAAAAAGGAATATATACAAATAAAATTTATAGCAAATTTAAGTGGAAAAAAACGCAAAATTAGGGTTAATTGCAAATCTGGCACAATTAAAAAATGTAACAAACAAACAAAACTGAAAAAT